TCCTCCACCTATGTGGCATCACCAGTTCCCCCGTGACCCGTCCAAGGTACAGTCTGACCCAAACTCTCTCTTGCCTCCATCGAGCCCTTCAAGTTTTTCCCTGATCTAAGTCCAGCATTTCTCCTTCCTCAGAATACTTAGAATGTCAGAGAGCTAGAGGTGACCTCAGAATCCTGACAATACCCTGGTTCTTGGCTTCGGGCCCAGATTCTTAGGAGTCCTCAGTGGTAGGAATAGGGTCTAAAGTTTCTAACATTTTGCTTTTTAATAGCATTTTTTTCTAATTACAAAGTAATGCATGCATGCTCAAGCAGAAAACTTGGAAAAAGCAGAAAAGTACAAGGGAATTTTAAAAATCATGCTATTTATCCCATTCACCCCCTCAGTGGTCCAGTGCCTGGAACAAATTTGGTGCTTAATAAATATTTGTTGAATGAATTATCTTTGATCCCATCACCCAGAGATAAAAGCCACAATCACCTTTTGATTGTTTATCCTTCCAGTCATAGATATGTTATACTACCTAAATAAGATCATATTGTACACAGTTTCATGGCCTGCTTTTTTTCTCTCGGCAATATACTATGTGTTTTCCCATATTGATAGCTTTTTTTACATCATTAATGCTTTCATATTATTCTTCAAATGGCTCTACCATAATTTTCCCAGCCAATTCTCTACCATTGGGCATTTAAGTTCTTTCCAGTTTTCTGTTGTTACAACGTCTTGCCATCCATCCTAGTACATATGTTTTTGTCCACATATCTATGTTTTAGGATGCATTCCTAGAAGTGGAATTGCTGGGTTAGAAGAGTAGGCACATTTTAAGACATCTCATGCATACTGACCAAATGGCACTGCTAATTTACCCTCCAAGGCTATTGCCAGTTTTCAAAAAGACCTAACTAAGTAAAGAAAATCTGGTACATTTTATCTCTGGACTAGGTAACACAGACTCATCAACTCTAAGCTTTTGGCCAGAATTACAGCAATTCCGACCCACCATGTTAGTTATTGACACTTGCTGACCGGAAGCTAACTGGCTATCAGGTTTTGGATCAGTATGGAAAGAGAATGCTCCGTCCTGCGCGCAGCCTCCAGGCGCCAGAGGGCGCGCTCCTCTCCAAGGCCCCGCCCCCACGGCCCCGCCCTCGGAGCCGTTGGGATTTGAATCTCCGGCGGGCTGCGGCTGGAAGTGCCGACCCCTCAGTCCGGCATGGGGAGCCCGGGCCCCAGCGTACGGTGCCCGGTGCAAGAGCAGCGTGCCCGTTGGGAGCGGAAACGCGCCTGCACTGCCCGGGAGCTGCTGGAGACCGAGCGGCGCTACCAGGAACAGCTGGGGCTGGTGGCCACGGTGCGGGGCCCGCACACCCTCCCCTGGGGGCGGGGACCCCAGGGTGTGAGAGGGCCCCTACGAGGTCGGTGACCCTGACTGGGGTACCGTGGGTCCTGACCTGGACGCCTGCACGTAGGGCGCTCAGGCCGACTTACACAGTTTCCAGCGGCGCCTTGGCACTGGCTTCATGTTTCTGCGGACTGCATGCCGGTATTCTCTCCTTCCGCAGTACGTCGTGGGGATTCTGCGAGCCAAGGGCACCCTGCGACCACCAGAGCGCCAGGCCCTGTTTGGGCCCTGGGAGCTCATTTACGGCGCCAGCCGGTGAGTAGAAGGGGCGTGGGAAGAGAGAAGGGGGGGGAGCTCTGGCCTCTGGCAGTGCACGGAGCTCAGAGTCGGAGCGACCCCGGTTCACATTCGGAGTCTGCCAGTTACCTCACTTGTGGTCTTGGCCCAGTGCCTTAATCTGCCCCAATTCTCCACCCGTAAAATGGGGTAATAGCACTACCTCCAGGGCAGGGGTAGGAGAATTAAAAGAGGTGGTGCTTGAGTAGTTCTTGGGCTGCTCTTTTATTGTCCTGACCTATGCAGAGAGCTGCTTCCCTACCTCGAAGGAGGGCGCTGGGGACAGGGGCTGGAGGGCTTCTGCCCCCACCTGGAGCTCTACACCCAGTTTGCTGCCAACGCTGAGAGGTCCCGGACCACCCTGCAGGTAACCTGAAGACGACCTCAAGTCCTCCTTCCCCTCTTCCTCCATACATTGCCTCTTCATCTGCAGACCCAAACTTCATTTATACTGTTCCTGCATTTATAGAGCCCTGTGGGTGTCCAGCTCTGTACTAAGTTCTCTGTAGGGAGACGGGGTTCTCTGAGGAGCACACAGCTTCCTGAGGGCTGGGTATGTGTACACCGAAGAATACAATAGTAGGAGAGGCTTCTCTCCTTGCTGCCAACCCTTTCCCTGTCACTCTAGGAGCAATTAAAGAAGAACAAACGTTTCCGGAGGTTTGTGCGACTTCAGGAAGGTCGCCCTGAGTTTGGGGGCCTTCAGCTCCAGGACCTGCTCCCTCTGCCTCTGCAGAGGCTCCAGCAGTGAGTGAACTCACCCTGACTCAGCCAACTTCTCTTAGAATTCTGAGTCTGTATGATTGCTGCTCTCAGCTTTGTGGGATTCCATGGGATTTGTCCCACTGTGTCTCTCCTGGGACAAATTGCTCCCACAAACTTTTTGCAAGAGTAAATGTGAACCCACTGGAGTACCTGGGGCTGTGCAGCCTCAGGCCCTTAGCTGGGATTGTGGAACTTACACTGAAGTGAGGGGGCCTGTAATAAGGCTAGCAACAGGGTTTCTGGAGATGAAAGGCTCGCCTAGCTTAGAATTTGTCCCTGCGGATGAGTTAAGAACTTAGTTGTCTGTAGCATCCTCCTTAAGTTGATTAACTTTCACCTTGGGATCTGGCCTCCTGACCCTTGGTCCGTCTGCCCCTCTGACTCTTCAATGTGGAATGGAAGAGGGCCATGTGGTGTGAACCTAGGTTCTGAGTCTCGGATGAAAGAGGGGGATAAAATAGCCACAAGCAGGTCTTTCCTGGCTTTGCAACTGAAGTTTGTATAGGGGGTGATGTGTGTGTCAGGCAGAGGAAATTTTGCCCAGCTCTACTTCCCCTCATAACTTCCAACTGTCTAATTCCAGGTATGAGAATCTTGCCATTGCTTTGGCTGAAAACACAGGTCCCAACAGCCCTGACCATGAACAGCTCACAAGTATGTTCTTGCTCCTCCACAGCAGTCCTTGGAGACTGCTTCTCTTGTATCCATTTCTGGTTCTGACCTCCAACAATGTCTGATATGCCCCTGTCTTCCAATGACTTGTATACAATGTTCCTATTGCCCTACATACTCTTCAAGAAGTTAGACTCTGACCCTGGTCCTCTCTGGAATAGCCTGTCTTTCACCACCACCATTCACCCAAAGTCAAAGGTGTGTTGGGAGTGGGGCATGGAATATTATTCCAGGGGCTGCCCGGCGGATAAGTGACACTGCCCAGAGAGTCCACACCATCAGTCAGAAACAGAAGAATGACCAGCACCTCCAGCGTGTCCAGGCTCTGCTCAGTGGACGGCAGGCAAAGGGGCTTATCTCAGGTAGTCTGTGTGCTTCCCCTCAATCCTCAAACTGCCCTTTTCCCACCCCCCCATCCTCTCTTTTGCCAGCACATACCCCCCATTTCCTCAGCCTCCCTTTCCTTCTATTCCGTGCATCACGGTCCTGAAGCTGCACCAGAATACAGCTCTCCCATCCCCCAGGTCGCTGGTTCCTACGCCAGGGTTGGCTGCTGGTGGTGCCTCCCCGAGGGGAGCCTCGGCCCCGAATGTTCTTCCTCTTCTCTGATGCACTCCTCATGGCCAAGCCTCGACCTCCATTGCATCTGCTGCAGAGTGGCACCTTTGCTTGCCAGGCCCTCTACCCCATGGCCGAGTGTCAACTCCACAGGGTGTTTGGCCACTCAGGAGGCCCCTGTGGTGGACTGCTCAGCGTAAGTAACAGGCGAGAGCCCTAGGTGAGGTAGGAAAGGCCCAAAATATACCTCAAGTGCCTGTGCACCATTCATCTCCTAGGCCTGGGCCCCCCTCACAGGAACTGAGCCACCTACATTGATAGCATAGTAGGGCTTGGGGTTCTCACTTCAGCCCTAAATTACCTCAATGGAAACAGCAGGGCCTTTAGCTTAAGGCTGGACCTTTCTGAGCCATGTGCTAAGAGGTGGTCTCTTCCTAGCTGTCCTTTCCCCACGAGAAGCTACTGCTTATGTCCACAGACCAGGAGGAGCTGTCGCACTGGTACCACAGTCTGACTTTGGCCAGCAGGTAAGTTATTTTCCTTCAGAAGAGTGCTGTGGTGAGGCCCACGAGCTGGAGGCAGCAGTCTGGGGCCTCTCTCACGTCTGGAACTCACTCCCACCCCTCACCCCACTCCTCCATCCAACACCCTGGGTGGTTTTGTCAGAATAGAGTGCTCATGCCAGTGCCTGAACTATCTTCTCTCCACAGCAGCCAGAAGAACTAGAGGAATCTTACAAATTTGAGTCCAGGATACCTCAGGGATAGGTCAGAGTCGGGAGTACAAAGGAATCTTCTTCAGAACTAACAAAACACAGACTCTTCACAGTTTGAGAGGGTCATTCTGTGTTTGCGTGAGATCAAGACACGCCATGTCATTTGACCAGCTCTTGAGAATCAGGACACCAAACCTGACCCAACTGAACCTCAGCTGAACCAGCTGTTTTTATGTTGTATGTAGTTTCTATAGTTTATTTCCCCACAGGATTTTAGTAAAGTTTTTTCTTTTTTGGAGAAGGCTTTTTATCTCAGCTATGCAATATGAGAAAAGGGGTTTATGTGCCCTGACGGCTGGCATGACAGTGGCCTCAGGAATACAAAGAGAAGGACTGGAGCTCCCTCTGTCTTCTCAGCTCCTGCACTGGAAGACAGCCTCTTTATGTCCTAATAAGGGAAGCTTTTCAAGAAGGCCCAGTTGTTTTTAGGCACCTAGTATGGGTGTGTGTGTGTGTGTGTGTGTGTGTGTGTGTGGGCACCTAGTATGGGTGTGTGTGTGTGAGTGTGAGTGACCAGCTGGAATGGAAAAAGCACACGGGATCATCCAGTCACAAGAACAGACTCTGTTTTACTAAACTGTCAGCTGTTGTCCCTCCTCCCCGGTAGGGGCTGTGACTGGGGCCCTTTGCTGCAGCCTTCCGGCATCTTCTCCTTAGCCCCTGCTCCATTTCCCCGGGAGTAGCTAGGTTCCTCGTCCCTGTGCTCCAGTTTACGGGCTCCTCCCAGGCCTGACTGTCACCAGCTTCTTCCTCGTCCTCCTCTATAGATAAGTCCTCAGGATAGAGTGTGCTGGCCTCTGTGAAGAGGAAGATCAGGCATGTTCCAGTTTGAGAGGCTCTGTCTCTACCTCCAGCAGACTCTCACCTCCCAACCCTGTACCTGGTTCTGGAACCTCCACACCCTTGTTTGGTTTGCTCTCTTGTAGCAGCTGGTGGATGGCCTGTAGCTTCATGTGCAAAAGCTCCTGCTGGGCTCCAGCCAGGGTGGTCACACTGCAGATATGTCCACTCAGAGGCTGCCCAATCTCTGTGCCCACATCTCCCACCTACCACAAGTTCCCCTGGCCACAGGGTCATTTCTCTCCTTACCGCTCAGAAAGGGGCTCCAGCTGGGCCATCAGACTGTTCAGGTGTTGTTCTGTCTGGGCCAGCTGTTGTGTCAGCTGGGCCAGCTGTTGCTCTGGGGGTAAGGGAGAAAAGGAGAGCAATGGTTACCTACCTTCTGCCGTCCCTTAATCCCCCCCAAGTACAGACTTCTGCAAAACCCACCTGACTGCAGTGAATCCTTCTTGCCTGCCTCCTCTTGGAGAAAAGTAGCCTCATCTTTCCCCTGCTGTGGAAAAAGGCAAGGGCAACGAGGTTCTCAATAACCTCAGTCTTGGGGCTTCCCTGGTGGTGCAGTGGTTAGGAATCCGCCTGCCAGTGCAGGGGACACGGGTTCGAGTCCTGGTCCGGGAAGGTCCCACATGCCACGGAGCAACTGGGCCCGTGTGCCACAACTACTGAGCCTGCGTTCTAGAGCCCGTGAGCCACAACTACTGAGCCCATGTGCCACAACTACTGAAACTTGCACACCTAGAGCCTGTGCTCTTCAACAGGAGAAGCCGAATGGAAAAAGCACACGGGATCATCCAGTCACAAGAACAGACTCTGTTTTACTAAACTGTCAGCTGTTGTCCCTCCTCCCCGGTAGGGGCTGTGACTGGGGCCCTTTGCTGCAGCCTTCCGGCATCTTCTCCTTAGCCCCTGCTCCATTTCCCCGGGAGTAGCTAGGTTCCTCGTCCCTGTGCTCCAGTTTACGGGCTCCTCCCAGGCCTGACTGTCACCAGCTTCTTCCTCGTCCTCCTCTATAGATAAGTCCTCAGGATAGAGTGTGCTGGCCTCTGTGAAGAGGAAGATCAGGCATGTTCCAGTTTGAGAGGCTCTGTCTCTACCTCCAGCAGACTCTCACCTCCCAACCCTGTACCTGGTTCTGGAACCTCCACACCCTTGTTTGGTTTGCTCTCTTGTAGCAGCTGGTGGATGGCCTGTAGCTTCATGTGCAAAAGCTCCTGCTGGGCTCCAGCCAGGGTGGTCACACTGCAGATATGTCCACTCAGAGGCTGCCCAATCTCTGTGCCCACATCTCCCACCTACCACAAGTTCCCCTGGCCACAGGGTCATTTCTCTCCTTACCGCTCAGAAAGGGGCTCCAGCTGGGCCATCAGACTGTTCAGGTGTTGTTCTGTCTGGGCCAGCTGTTGTGTCAGCTGGGCCAGCTGTTGCTCTGGGGGTAAGGGAGAAAAGGAGAGCAATGGTTACCTACCTTCTGCCGTCCCTTAATCCCCCCCAAGTACAGACTTCTGCAAAACCCACCTGACTGCAGTGAATCCTTCTTGCCTGCCTCCTCTTGGAGAAAAGTAGCCTCATCTTTCCCCTGCTGTGGAAAAAGGCAAGGGCAACGAGGTTCTCAATAACCTCAGTCTTGGGGCTTCCCTGGTGGTGCAGTGGTTAGGAATCCGCCTGCCAGTGCAGGGGACACGGGTTCGAGTCCTGGTCCGGGAAGGTCCCACATGCCACGGAGCAACTGGGCCCGTGTGCCACAACTACTGAGCCTGCGTTCTAGAGCCCGTGAGCCACAACTACTGAGCCCATGTGCCACAACTACTGAAACTTGCACACCTAGAGCCTGTGCTCTTCAACAGGAGAAGCCACTGCAGTGAGAAGCCCGCACACCTCAGCAAAGAGCAGCCCCCGCTTGCTGCAACCAGAGAAAGCCCACGTGCAGTAATGAAGACCCAATGCAGCCAAAATAAAATAAATTTACAAAAAAATAAGTAAATAAATAACCTCAGTCTCCAAAGCCAGAAAGAGGAGGAGGACAATTTCAGGTAGACAAAACTAGTGGCTTTTTACCTCAGAGAATCACAATCACAACTAGTCCAGCTCCTCACCCAGGACAGGAAGCAACATGTCAGTATGCCCCACACGTGGTTGTTTAGTCTACTGAAACACTTCCAGGAAGGAGCAGCTGTCATCAGTTTGATAAAGTTCTGGTTGTTAGTTTATACACAAAGCCAGAAACTGTCCTGTGTGTATCTTCTTTTCATGGTACTGATCAGAGCCTTCCAAAATCATATCTTTTCAACGTGATAGCCCCTCAGGAATTTGAAGAAATGGGTCATACCCCCTGTCTTCTCTGGGTTTAATAGTGCCAATCTTTTGCAGTCAGTGCTCATTTGACACGGTTTTCTCTGGTTGCTTTACTCTGGTTTGTTTTAAGAGCATGTACTGCTCTTAAAACAGTGCCCTCAAGAGAGTAAAATTCTCCAGGAGTGTTCTGATCAGAAGATAAAGCACAATACCTCATTCCTAGCATTGATTTGGGAAGTGGGTTATCACATTACACAACTGAACTTTGTCAAATAATAAACTGCTGCCAAATTATGTTTCTTTCATACTATACTTGGGTCCAAGAATAGAATTTATTATCTATCCTTGTAAAATTTCATCATTAAATTCAGTCCCTCATTCTAGCCTGTCAAGTCTATTTTGGATCACGATTAGCCATCCCTTCTAGTTTCATATCATCTCCAAATTGGCTCAGCCCTCTACTTTCCAATGCAAGTAAGTGATAGGGCCAGGGCTGAAGGGAGAGCCCTGGGAGGTACTACTTTCCATTTCAACAGTTTCAATCCACCACAATATACTGTCAGTTCACATTGCAGGGCCTCCTTCCCAAGGAGAATTTGAGACTGCTTGTTACCTCGAACTCTAAAGGCACTTTGGCTACAGTAATCAGCTGCTCGTGCCAAGGCTGGAATCTCACCGGGAACCGCACTTACTGTAGTATGGACATTTGCTGGGTTCAAATCCCAGCTCCACCAGTTACTGGCTCTGGGTGGTCTTGAGCAAGTGACTAAACCTCTTCACTGGATTGCTGGGAGGATTAAATGTGATGATCATTATTTATTTACAATTTACCAAGGGCCCTTCACATCCACTACCACGCTGGATGCTCAAAATAACCCCATAATCTTAGAAAGCCAGGGAACTCCTGTCATTTTACAGACTGAAGGGAAAATGTGTCTTCTTCTTGGTACCACAGCGTCCCCGTGGGAGATTCAGGCTCGGGGCATCCCCACCCCTGGTCGTCCCGCACCTGTAAACACTTGTACAGCACAAAAGCCACGGCGGCTGCGGTATACAGCGCCCCCAAGGGCAGCGCCCCCAAGGGCAGCGCCCCGGCCCAGGCCCGCTCGCGCTGGTTCTTGGGCGGTGGCGGCGGCGGCCGCCCCCGGGTTTCCGTGGCCCCAGGGCCGACCTGGGCGGCGTCCCCTGAAGAGGAGGGCAGAAGCGGTCAGTACAGCTGGGGTTTGGGGCCTGTGGGCAGTCCCAGCCTCCCTCCAGCTGCCCTCGCTGGTACCTGAATGTGCCCGGCGGTCGGGGCTGGGGCGGTCTCCGAGCACCTCGGGCAGCGCAGACACAAGTAGCAGCCCCAGCGAACCCGCGAGCGACACCACGCTCGCCATTGCTGGCAGACACCGCGAGGACCGAGGCGGCGCCGGCGTAGGTCGGACGCTCCCGAGCCCGTTCAGCTCCGGGATTCCCAGGAAGGTCACGCCCACCTAGTGTGTGGGCGGGCCAGGTCTATTTGCATAGCACTGTGGGTCCAGCTTACTTCATTTAGGAAATTAGTTCATTTCTTACCTCTATATAGGTATTCTGTTAGCCAGAATGTCTCCAAAAGCGTACAGTCTTAGAAGATTATAACTGGAAGTGGTTTTTATTTGCCACGCCACCAACTTCCTCACCCTAACCGCAAAATAAATTTCCCCATGGAGCTATAAAAGGTTAGAGCGCTCTCTTTATAGAGTAGCTCGTGCTGAAGGCCTGTTTCCTAGGCTACGAACAGGGGACTAGTTCCTTATTTGCGCCTAGGGGAAAGTCCCCGGACCAGGGGCAGAGAGTGCCGCGTGCGCGTGCACGTTAGACCCTCCCTGCTCTTCACGAATAAACCCGCCAAGAAGCGATCCCGCAGCTGCCGGAGGAGCAGAGCGGCGTGTTGCGGGGGGTGTCGCCCGTCTACTTCTATAGTTACGCAGGCAGTGCGCCTCCGCGCGCCAACCACACGGGGCTCATTCTCAGCGCGGCTACTTTTGTACCTTTTAGAAAGTAGGAAGTTACACCCCTAAACTACTTCTTGTTCCTCCCCTTAACTACTTGTTCCTCCTGTGGCCTAATACATCACTGTATCATTTTTTTCCAATTCCCGTTTCGTGCAACGGCTTCCTCTTCCCCACCCTTTCCATCTGGCAAGTGCCTGTAATAGCCACCATTTATCGTGTAGCATGGTAACACTATAAAATTTGATCTCTGCCTGGGCTAGAATCCTGCCTCCCCTATTTGACTAGCCGACCACCCAGAGGCAGCCTGGGCTGCAGAGCAGAGTAGTCCAAACCTCGACTCTAAGCCAGTTGACATAATCAATGTAAATAAGTGGTTCAGGCCAGGTGTAATAGGATAAACGGGCCCCAGCTGATTGTTGCCTTTAGGGAATTTGGGCCCACTATTGCCAGCTCTTCTGATTTTTTTCCAATAGATCAACAAATCGGGATTTCAAAATTTGGAAATCTCCAGTTTTTAAATGTTGACGAGGAATCAGTGGCAGACTTAGCATATTTGACACCTGAGAGATTTTTTTAAAGTCTCCTCTTCTATATAACAAAATTATTTTCAGTAATAATCAGGAAATGAAACAATAGGGTCCAGAAAAGAAACTAATAATAATAAGGGCCAGAAATTCAAACAGTGAATTATTTCTTTTATTGAACTCTGTAGATACAATCTTGACAATATAAAAAAATAGTTAAAATTAAATATACATTACAGAACAAGAAAGGGTAATGGGTTAATATTCCTTAGTTACATTATTGTATTTTTTGAGAAAGGTGCAAAAAACTTATACTTACATTTAACCTATCTGAGTAATGGATAACTCTAATTTCTTTTTTAAAGTTAACTTCTGCAAATTCGTCAAAAGTAATTTTTGCATATTCCTATTTAATAGAGAATATAGCTAGATTTGTCGATCTCCACGCATAGTTGAATAAAGAATGCCTTTTACTAATTTTCATATCAAAAAAGTTTCTTTCACATGAAGCAACAGACAAATAGGGAAAGAAAGTCTTAAACATAAAGATGTTTGGCAAAGATTCATTAAAAATTCCATTTGTCAGTAAATTCCAGAAATTTTCAATACAAATAAAAACTAAGTGGTCACCTAGAATGACAGAATTAAAGTAACTCAACGTCAATTTATTTGACTTTTTAATCACTGTGATACCATTGTTCATTGTAAATCTACTGGTTAAATGCAGGACTGTGTGATATCATAGGAGACAGAAATTGTGCCCAAACCAAAGAACAACTCCAAATTGTTAAGAAGTAATTCTGGCTATAAACACATGTAAGATGAACCTGTTTGTGTCAGGAGCCAGTTGTATAACTGGGCGTTCTACAGATTAACTTCCATGTAGATTATAATAGTTTTTTGTTTTTTTTTTTTCTGGCCGCTCCACACCGCAGGCAGGATCTTAATTCCCCTGACCAGGGATGGAACCCTCATCCCCTGCAGTGGAAGCATGGAGTTTTAACCACTGGACTGCCAGGGAAGTCGTAGATCAGAAAACTTCTAAAGGATAAGTAATATAAATGTGCTAATTTGAAGCTTATATAGTAGTATTAAAACTCATCAGTAACTACAACAATTTAGAATGTAGATCTACAAAATATTTTTGAGAAAGGAATATTTTATCACTGACATTTTTTAGAATTGCTGAAACTTGGTGATAATAAAAAAGGAGACTGAATTTTAGTCAGTTTTGTTTTTAAATTCTCTACAGACAATACCCTTTTATTGCCTGGAGGGGCAGGATCTCTCCTGCCATCCCCAACATTGACACATCACTGCAATGATTTTAAGTTTTTAAAAAACACTGTATGGGCCAGACAAAACAGATCTCTGACCTCTGGTCTAAGGTTTATATTTGGAACTTAAATCCCTCTTCCCACATCAACAGCCTCCCATGTGGTTGGGCTGTTTCTGGGCAGGGCAGGTACTCTGCTGCTCCCTGAAGCGAACAAGTGCGAACACAGGGCTGTTTCCCAGGACAGATCTGGGCAGAGGTTGCTCTAATTCAGCTAACTTTTTTTTTTTTTTTAAAGCCATCTTTAAATTTATTTTCCAAATATAAATCTCAATTAATGTTCATACACTGTCATTTAGCTTCAGGCTTTTTTAACCTAGAAAAAAATTATCTTTTTAAAACTACATCTATTGAGGTATAACTGACAAACAATAAAGTACAAAAAAAGGTGCACAATTTCATGATTGCTGACATATGTATAATGCATGAAAGCACGAGCATCACCAAGGCGATGAAAACATCCATCAGCCCCCACTCATCTTCAATCTAGAACACTGCTCCTGTCCCTCCCCATCTCTGTCTTTCATGATATTGACTTTTAGGAAAGCTTAAGGTCACTTGTCTGGTGGAGTGTCCCCCATTCTAGATTTGCCTAGTTGTTTCTTCATAATTTGATTCCCATTGAACATTTTTGTCCAGGACATCACATGGGCAATGTAGAGTTCCTCCCACTGCATCCCATTAGGGACACAGAACATTACTTTGGGCACTTGGTTCAAGAGGTGTCTGCGAATGTCTCCATGATAAAGGTCCCTTTCCCTGTCATTATCACAAGTGGTCTGTCTCTGGTACCCTATTCCTTAACAAAGGCTTTGACCACCTGTGAGGATTCTTGCTGGCTCAGTGATGGCATTGTGGGTAGCAGATGGTGGTTCTCTAATTCTGCACAACTACACTTCACAGCTGGCATCTTCTCTAAAGAAGACCTTTCCTTCCCTGAGTCCCGCTCCTGTGTTTTTAAAGGCACCCTTGGGTTCATGAATTCTTTTCCTCCATCCAATGTGTGTAACCCAATATCTTCCTTTTTGAGGTCCAAAGTGTGCTGCAATGTGCCAGTAGAGCCCTTCACCCTGCCTCTGCATCCTTCTGGGTCCTAACTAGTTTTCAAGTACATCACTGCTGTCAGACATGAGCTTTCATTCTCCTTCTTTCCTGAGAGTGGACCCAGAGCCAAGCATTTCTCCATGACACCCTGACTGCCTTTATTGGTGAAGGACACTGAAAAATCAAGATCTGGGGAAGTAGACCCTTTTCAATGTTTGATGTAAAACATTTGAGGGTGTACATGTTAAGAACTATGAAGGATCTGAATCAGCTAACTTTTGAGCTTACCAGTTCCTAGGGACAGTTTGGATGAAGTGGACCAGGGGGAGGGAATCAAGCTTCCTCTAGCCCCCAAACTATTATACCAATAATAATAACAACGACAAAGGTCACCTTAACACATGCCCCTCGGGTCAGCCTTAGGGTGTAGTGGGACTGTAAGTACCAGGGGGCCCCCTCATCACATTTCACTTTAAAACATGCTCACTGAGGAATACGTTCTCTGTTCTCTGTCATGGGACTCAGAGTTGGAGAGAAAAGGCATACACCCTGTGGCAGAAAGGAATCTCTGTCCTAAGGCCTGGCTTCCTTGTCTTGTCGCTCCCGCCTCATGCCACTTCTGCCCGCCTTGGGGTCTTCATGAGCTCACCTGCCCAGTGGCTCAGTAAACTCAGGCCTGCCTCTTCTCTGGCCGAACTTGCTACAGGGTACAGGGGAGGGATGGGGGTGGGGGCGGAAGCCCAGGAGCTGCTGGGTAGTGCAGGTGCAGGCACAGGGTGGTGTCTTTGTTCTTTCACTCATCCCTCCCCACCCCCTTCCTCCCCGGAAACCAGTAACTTTGCCACCACCCGTATTGGAGGTGCTGAGCCGTGGGGGCCAGACCCAGGGAGGGGTGGGAGTAAAGGGGGCTGCCGCAGCTGTGTTGGGCCATAAATCAGGCTGACCCCTTGGCTCAGGGCAGGATGCCTACAAATTCGGCTTCTGTACCAGCAGGTCTGAGCAGAAGTGACAACTACACGGACCTGCTAGTGCCTGGTGAGCTGGGCGGGGCAGGGGCAGGGGGAGGGGTCACGTGGCTCCATGTCCCACCTGCTGGGACCTGGAGGGTTAGACTGGGCAGTAACACCCTCCCCCTCCATCCTCTCACATCTACAGGAATCCCCTCTGTGACCAAGGCCTGGGGACTATGGGCCCTCTTAGGGGCTGTGACGCTGTTGCTTCTCATCTCACTGGCTGTGCACTTATTCCAATGGACTAGTGGCTGCAGCAGGAACCATCCGGGACAGGGACGGTGAGTGGGCGGCAATAGAGATGGGTTGATCGAGAGTTCCCCCTTACCAACAAGCACCCTCTTGTCCCCTAAACTCTGTGTTGCAGGCCTGGAGAGTCTGCGGAAGAGGTCCCTCTGTACGGGAACCTGCATTATCTGCAGACAGGTAGGAAGCTTTCAGAGGGTAGGAGCACAGTGGCCAGGGTGCATGGAGAGGAACAAGAAGTGACCAGATTCCTGTTCCCTGTTCTAGGACGGCTGTCTCAAGAACCGGGGCCAGACCAACAGAATCCAACACCTGGAGGCCCTGCCAGGGTGAGACAGTTGTGGCTGAAGAAGAGGGGAGGGAAGGTAGTGGGGGATTTTTCAAGGGTCCAGTGAACTTCTAAAAGCCTTGCATCTCCAGGCTGCAGAGGAGGTGATGTGCTATACCAGCCTGCAGCTGCGGCCTCCTCAGGGCCGGATCCCCAGCCCTGGAAGCCCCATCAAGTACTCGGAGGTGGTGCTGGACTCTGAGCCAAAGCCCCAGGCCTCGAGCCCCGAGCCGGAGCTCTACGCCTCAGTGTGTGCCCAGACCCGCAGAGCCCGGGCTTCCTTTCCAGACCAGGCCTACGCCAACAGCCAGCCTGCACCCAGCTGAGACAGAGGGCCTGGCACAGTGGGGCATACAACTCCCCCGCCTCCTCTGTTGCCAGGGTTACTGCTACCCTGTCTGGGGCATGACTGTTTCCCAACCACCCCCTAAAGACAGGCAGCCATTGCTCAGTCACAGGAGTTATGCTCCACGAACTTCCTATCTGAGCTGTGAGGGAGACATCTCAGAGGAATGGCAGGCCCCCCGTTTCTTGAGGGTGGAGGAAGCAAAGGCAGTGGCCCCCTCTCCACCGGTTTTTTCCCTCTATCTATTCCTCTCAACCCCCAAACTCCCAGGTCCTCACTCCTCCTTCTGGAGCTTAACCAGATCCTCCCCACTCTGGCTGCCTCTTAGTCTACCCCTGACACCACAGTGTCTCCTCAGACACAAGAAGTGGGTGGCGGCGGGGAGGGGGTAAGAGTCTGAGAGGACACAGATGGGCATCCTCCTCAGGAGCCCACAGGCTGAGGGGTCCTGGAGCTCAGTGACCTGAGAAACCCAAGCCTGGTCTCTGACTTGAGAACCCTGGCAGAATACCAGTCTCTATCCTGCCATCTCTGTTATGTGCCCAAGTTTTTAAATAAAACTTCTGAAAAAGTGTTTAGATTTCACCTAGAAAGCCACACACCTGCAACAGGCCCCACGTGGTGGGGCGGTGACCTCTGCTCTCTGCACAGAGCACTTCTGGGAGCGTCTACCTGGGAAAGAGGGGCCAAGAAGGGCCGCAGCATCAGTGATGCAGGGGTGGGTGCTACGGGTGGAGGCCGGAGCCCAGCTGCTGCTGGAACGTCCCCAGGATTTGCACACAGAGCCTCCCCACTCCCATCACCTGCGGTCTGCAAGTTTCCCACCCTCTGACCTACTTTCCCCAGGGCCATCACCCACAGCCTGAGGTCTGGGCCATTTTCCCCTACAGCCTCTGTAGATCTCTTGACAGACCTTACTGAGGCTTGAGGAGAAAAAAAGGGGAAGCTGAGGCTTTTACTTCCAAACTTCTCTCCTTCCTACTTAAGAGTCCCAGAGAAAATCACAGAGAAGGGAACTTTGAGCCTGAGACCAGCCTGGTGGTCCCAATGAGAAGGGCGACACGCCTCTCCACACACACACAATAACCCAAATGCCCCAGGGTTCCTGGACCTCTGAGGACCCCCAACCTGGGCCTCCCCAGAAGGAGGATGTTAACTGCAGGCAGCTGGGACTGTGTGGGAGGGAAGGTGGCTTTGGGGGCGGGCACCGGATGCGGGGAACCGCGGGCAGCGGGATGTGGGGTTCTGAGGGCTGCTGTGCTGAAGACGGCTCAACGTGTCTGCGGCCTGGGAGACGTGACGCCCTGACCTTGGAAGAAGCAAGGGTTGGGGTCCCGCCAACCTCCCGGGACGAGCCGGGAGCCGCAGCCGAGGTCTTAAACGCCGCCAAGGTAGGAAGCCGACCTCCGCTCCCCGATCTCCCTCTCCCCGCGGGGTTCCGCGGCGCCCGGACCAAGCCCCGAGCGCCCCCGCCTGGTGCGACGCGGCCTCGCCACCACCTCTGCGTAGGCGTAGTGCTGCCCTGCCCACAGCATGCTGGGAGATGTAGTCCAGACCGTGCGGGGCTGACCCCCCCCCCCACACCCAAAGTCTCCCCGGGGGCTTTCACGCGCAC